CTTTACATTTGAACTTACATTATGGCCCCGCCCTACCCCCTGGAGTCATGACTTGAACAAATTACACTACCTGAGAATGCTTCCATATGAATAGGACTAATCATTGAAAAGAAGATTTTTGAAAATTTTTTCTACATGTTTCTATGTAAAACTTGGATTCCATGTTATGGCCCCGCCCTACCCCCAGGGATCATGATTTGAACAAAACTGAATGTCCACTACCTGAAGATGCTTCCATGAAAATATGATCATTCATGCCTTTGTTATTCTTAAGAAGATTTTTAAGAAATTTTCATATATATTTATATGTAAAATTTTCATCGCTCACTGTGGCCCCGCCCTACCCCCGGGGGTCATGATTTGAACAAACTTGAATCTACACTACCTGAAGAAGCTTGCCTATAAGTTTCAGCTTTCCTGGCACAGTGGTTCTTGAGAAGAAGATTTTTAAAGAATTTTCCTATAAATTTCTATGTAAAACTTTGATCGCCCATTGTGGCCTCGCCCTACCCCCGGGGGTCATGATTTGAACAAACTTGAATCTATGAACAAACTTGAATCTACACTACCTGAGGATGCTTGCCTATAAGTTTCAGCTTTCATGGCACAGTGGTTCTTGAGAAGAAGATTTTTAAAACATGCCAACAAATTTTCACTATTTCTGAATTATCTCCCCTTGAATAAGGGCATGGCCCTTCATTTGAACAAACTTGAATCCCCTTCACCTAAAGATACTTTGTGCCAAGTTTGGTTGAAATTGGCCCAGTGGTTCTTGAGAAGAAGTTGAAAATGTGAGCTAAAAACTATACCCCCCACCAATCTTTGAAGGGGGAGGCATAAACATCAGTGGCTTATCTACAGGCAAATTTAAGGAATGACAAGTATATTTACCCGACATCTAGGTCCCACACTGGAGCATTGTGACCTCTGTAGCAGACCCTGTTAGTGTGTGTGTCTAGATCCCACAGGCGCACTGAGGAATGAAATATAGGCAAAGAAATCAATTGTTTTACCTACATATTAAAATGTAGTGCAAAGTCAATTTTTTGTCAGATATAATATTTTAAGTACAATTTCTCACTACCGGGTCCTTTTGAAATGAAATATTTGAAAGAGGCAAAAAATGTTTTAACATAATTTACAAATGAAGCATAACTGCTGTCTGATTCCAATGAGTGGAAGTTTTACCAGTAGCGTCTTCTGAGGCTGACATTAGATACTTGGAGTCGTGAGAGAAGCAGGTCTTGTACACTGTACCGCTGTGTGCCCTCAAGGTCACAGTCTCAGTGTACCGGGGTTTACTGAAAAATCAAGCATTTACTGGTATTTACTTATCTAATACAAAATTTTGAAACATTCTCTGACTTTATTTCTCTCTGAAATTTCTTTATTCCTTTTAACACATTATTTCACTACAGATATGAAACACATGAACTACATTATGGCTATTATATAGTCCCAATGGCAGTTTAAATTCCCAAATGGAGTGTAAAATTTAGTGACAAGTCAACAAAATTGTGAAAATTTTTTAATTGATCTGAGGATCAACAAAATTTAGACCTATGAGCTTTTTCACTGAATATTTCAAAACTTTAGTTGATGCATTCTTTTGATTCAAATATAAACATGCACAAATGACTTATTTTCTTCATTTCTCAGTTTCTTTTACTCAATTAAATTCATAAATAGACAAAAGACAATGACTGGTAAAACAGTTTTATAGAGTTGGTACCTGTAAGAAGAGGCAAGCTCCTAAAATTTGTAATGGGGACTAAATCTTTAGGACCTGGAGTCACTGGAGGTTTGTTATCGGGGGTATGAGGCCTTATTTACAGTTACTCAGAAATACAACTCTAATATTGAAAATTAAATGTAAAAACTACACACATTTTTAATATTTTCCAAAATTAAATTTTTATGACAAAGCTAATTTAACATATAGATATATCTTAATTTATTTTCACTCCTGTTTTAACAGATATTTCTGATGCATAAAAAGTATGAATGAAATAGTAGGAACTCTATACTCTATTACATAATGCACTCCAATTTGTCTAAAACAGTCTAAGGGTCAGCCATACAAAAACACTCTAAGGAAACAACCAGTATGTCAAATTATGTCGTTAATTAAGACGAAAAGAGCTCAAAGCCTAATACTGTAGATCACTAAATTTTCGTGACACCTTATTTTCGCGAGATAGCCATTGACTCTTTATTAGCGAGACATAATTTTCACGTATTGATGTTTTTCTTTTATATAATCGTAAGGAATACTTTTAAAAAGCAAGAATGAAATTTTCGCGAGCTCATTGTCTTGCATAATTACGCGAAAATTAAGTTCTCGTGAATAAAACGTGATTTACAGTACATAAGGAATATCAGCTATGATGACAGCATGCTATCAATATAGATTTACCATTCCTCCATGATGTCCACATTCCAGTAGTCGGCTGCTATGTACAGTTTACAGGGATCCACTGTTTGAGGGGTGGATTGGAGAAGACTGGGGGTGGTGCTCCACAACTTGATGGAAGAGTCCTCAAATCCTGCACTCAGTAAAGTCTTATCTGGGGAGATGTCAACTGTACACAACCTGAAAAGTCCAGTTATTATTATTGTCAAAATCTGTTAGGAAACACATCTGGTGTATCAAACATTTTATGCAATATATATATATAGTTTCAACTTTTTTACATAAAATATCTGGAGAAAAATTCAAACATCTTAGGTACCTTTAAAATTGAGAAATTAAGTAACTTAAAAAAAAAAGTAACAACAGCATTGTTTGCAAAAACTTTCCACAAGCAATATGTATATCAAAATAAATCCTAATTTTTACTTCCTACATTTATACCACTCACCCTTGATAAGCATTAATAAATGTGTAGAAACAGATGGAGGGTAGACATGGTGGCCCCTCCCTCACTTGTTTGATTGACAGCTGTAATGTCGCTAGGGCCTCTATATCCTCTGGATCGTCCTTTATCTCTTTAGATTCCTCCTTCGGTACATTCAGTCCCTCACTCAGTTCTAGTCTCCCTTTTGTCTCCTCCTCAACTTTGTATCATAGCATAAATTATAAGACATATACAAACTGTGCTGGATAAGATTAGTGTATGGTGAAAACAATATTGAATCTATGAAATACTTCTATTAAAGGGAGTAGTTTTGTAAAATGTGTAAGATAAATTTCTGTATGAGATTTTACCCCTTGCAAAACTCATTATTTCCAATTGCAAAGGTTAACAATTTCCATGATGAATATTAATTCAGGTATCAGAGAAATTTTTAAAAAATATTTCATATAATACCCGGTAGTTCAACTAAAACATTACATGATTACACATTTATTTTCAATTCAAATCATCTTGTTAAAAGGCTTATATTACATGTACCTGTATTTTCCAGTTTAACATTTTGATTAAAAATCTGAAATATTGTGCTGTTGTCTTCATGCTGCAACAGAAAATATAATGAGAATGCAGAGAATAATTCAGTACATTCAGTAATTTATATGCATCAATACATGCTGGTAATCCATTTGTCCTACCTTCAGATGTCTCAGCAGATACTCCAAGGCTCCTTCAGATAACCTGATCTTAAATTTATTCTCCCTAAAATACAAAACAATGGAGGGGTCATTTCTAGTCTCAAGAAATAGTTCTGGTTGAGGGGAACATCCTTAAGGTTTATTGACAATGGAACTTTTGAAACAGGAATTAGCTCTGACAATTGATGGCAAACTGATATAAAAGTATTTAAAAATCTTAAGAATGGATTAACTGGGAATTAGCTCAGTTGACTAACACATGGTAACGCAGGGATTAGTCATTTCACAGCATCTTTTAAATATCTAATCTATTAACACTACCATTGTTACAGTAACCAATCACATCAAAGAAGGCCTCTACATGTACCTGAAATCTGTGGCCTCTAGACAGCCCATGACATCAGTACTGTTGTACAGCTTGTGTATTGACTCCAGGGTCTGGCTGTATGACTTCTCATTGTCAAACAACTTCACATGCTTACTGTAGAATCTATGTGCTGTTTTCAAGGACAAAACATTTTATTTTAAATATTTCCCTTTCAAAGGTGCATTTTTATTTTATTTCCTAATGTTTTATTCTTTTTCTCTTCATATAGACAATGTACATGTACACTGAAAGACAAAATAATCCAGCCTTGGCTATGGAAATTAAAAGGTCAACATTTTATTTTGAAATTTACATACCTGGAGTCTTGTGACCATTACACAGTTGGTCTAGGTACAGATGAACAAAAACAGGATAAAGTAAGGGCTGAAGCTGACTTTTATATGGTTCACTTCCTCTGTTTATGTACGATTTCAACCTAAGGAAAACATACACAGTAGGCTTTGATAAAATTTCTGTAGATATCTAACCCCCCCCCCCAAAAAAAAAAAAAAGATATACAAGTATTCATAAGTATAACCTTAAAACTTGATGGCAAGGGAACACAAAGAATCAACATAGAAATAAACAACAATATAAAAGCAACACTAATGGAAGAGTGGTTGTTTACAAATGTATGTATCAAGGTTCACACAAAAGAACAGATAAGTTATACCTGGAGAACTGTTCATCACAGGCACTAGCATCCCCACTGAAGCTACTGAAGGTCAGAAGATTGTCCACAGTTACCTCCCCATTACTAGCATTCTTCACAGCCATATCACTGATATTCTGCACCCATTTAGATTCCTTTTTCTGAGAAGTTTCATTTTCCTTAAAAAATTTGAAGATAAATTTATTATTGTTTAATAAACGGTGGGAAAAAGATACAGCAAAGCCAAATAGTTTTTTATTATTAACATAGATGAAGTAAAAAAAAAAGGAAGACAAATTTCATCTGACTTATGGAATTCCACAGATGACAATCAATTAACTGATAATTGCAGCCACGTTCATAGATGACATTCCTTATAACATGTTGCAAAGAATAAAATGTGCTATAATATAATTGTTTCTTCAAGCATGCATATTAAAGAAAAATTGTGATTTAACAAACATAGCTAATGTGGGTGCGTATCATTACCGCTACATTTTCAAAATTTTCATTACCGCTACATAGTCATTACCGCTACAAAAAACCTTACATTACCGCTACATAAAAAAGTATATATTACCGCTACATTGCCTCTTTCGTTAGTCAGCCACATATGCGTGTACAGTACAACCTATAAATGCATAAGACCCACCACCATGACCACGTGGAGGTGAAAGTAGGACTTTGAGCAGGATGTTTTTTTTCATTATTAAAATCAATTGTTTTTCAATTTTATTTCATAAAACACAAAAAATGAAAATCAAGCACTATTCATAGATAAAGTTCTAAGTTTTGTCAAATGTTTTTTTTTTCACTATCGCTAAAGCCTTGAAAGCCATTTGCTTGACATATTGTTTTCTCAATTTATAATTATCGATAAGTAAGATGACATTCCCTCAATTTGTAACAAACTTATCAATTGTGGCCATAATGTTCAGATGAAGCTAAATAATTAAATTTCGACTACAGAGTTGTTTATATAAATATACCCATTCTGATTAGATAGTGAGTGAATTCTGTTGATTTGAACTCGTATACCGAACCATACCTGGCTAAATCGATATGTAGCGGTAATGAGTTGTTTTGGACTGATTCAATATGTAGCGGTAATGAGTTGTTTTTGGCCGGAAAAATGTAGCGGTAATGATCGGTCGAAAATCTGAAAAAATGTAGCGGTAATGAGTTGAAATTTTTGGCAATGTAGCGGTAATGTTGACCTCCCGCTAATGTTACCCAGCAATAGATTCCCCCTCATAAAAATAAGGAAATGATATCTTAGAAATACTATAATTATAATCAGACTTTTTTGAACTGCTTACATTGCCAGGAATTGTCCAAAAACTGTCTCTTCCTAGGTAGGAAGTGATGGCTTCCAATGGCTTCCTAGGTAAATAAATAACTTTTTACTCCTACTCAAGATAGCTATTTTTACCTACCTTTTGCAATACTTGCATTTGCATGGCACAATATGACAAATACCAGGTTTCTTGATAAACACTGGTGATACATCACACTGATGATGAATTTGTTTGGTTAGACAAAAAAAAAAAAAAAAAAAGATTACTGTCTGTTTTCAATTATGCTACACCCAGTACCAGTTTCTGGGAGTTGAGGATTAAAGTCGAGTGGCAAGGACCCTAGAATGTCTAACAAATCTGTATCAATCTTAAAAGTTATCCTTCATGCACTCCTGGGTAAATACATGTAGTTTTTGGGATATTTTGATGTATTCTCCACACTCAGAATGTTTACAAAGAACTATATGCGGTAATTGCATATTTTTGCCCCCACAAAAGTCAAATATTGAAAATTTCTTTAAATGTGCTGAATTGTATATATTGTATGAGGAATCTAAACAAACAAAAAATATTATAGTTTCAAAGAAGGTTGATGACAATTTTTGTTTTTGTGACTTTACAAACTATTCAGATTTCGCATTGTTTTTCAGAAAAAGGACAAAATTTGCTCAATTTTTACTGTAAAATTTAAAGAGCACAGTCCTGCTCCAGAACAATGTTTAATATTTCATTGATATCATTATTTACACATTATATCAAAATCCGTGATCTGTAATCAAAATATAGATGTAATATACACCTTTTTCTGTAGAAATCATGGAAATTTTAAATATGTGTTATTTTCCTGACATCATATCAAACATTTGACATAATGGCTTGTGGAAATATTCAGTGCTTTGAAGTCTGCAGATATCCCCCTGTTTTAGAACATTATACATTTATCTACTAAGTTCGAGGGCAACATGTGTCTTGTCAGACCCAAGAACTAAACTGTCTGCCTGAGGCCAGGCCAAAGGCAGACAGTTTGGTTCGAGGGTCCGACAAAAAGCATGTTGCCCATTCTTGACGTAAACGGTCCAACATTTCACCGACCGGTCCAACATCTCACTCAGTGGTCAACCATTGATTTTTTATGCCCGCTCAGCAAAACATTAGAAATGTTAGACTTTTATGTATAGGAACAAATTTCTAAAGGTATAACAAAATTATATATTTCTCCGTCAAAGCCCCCGGCCCCTTTTGAACAAGTACACAGCACAACATGATAATAAACACCAAGTCTGACCAGGGACCTACATACTACTTAGTATATAGGTCCCTGCATAGTCTGACGTCCTATTAACACCTTCATTATTACTTATCTATTTACTTCTATTTAAAAAAATTCATTTATATTCAAAACTATGTAAAAGTATGTTGAGGTAGCTACATTAAGTAGGTTTAAAGGGCCATGTAGGGCCATGCAAAAGTATAAACAGCTACTTCTAGGTAGAAAAACAGTTTTTGGACTGGACCTGATTGCTGCAAAAACTGAATTGTCCATTCCGTTCGTAACAGCAGCTTTTGACACTTACTAAATACTGCCTCCTTTTCAAATAGTGATGAACAGAAACATTTATCTGTTCATGTCTTACTCTCTTCATCACGTTTCCTACATTCTTCCCACGATTTCCAGAATTTCTGACAGAGGAAAGTCGAACTCCAATAATAATATCAGAATTTCGAACCCGATCTAAAACGTGGTCGAAGAATGGAATACAAAAGCAGAAAACATGAAGTATTTTAAAATGCATAAAATAGTTAATTTTGGCATTTAGCTAATATCAAATAATTTTAAAAGTGCAAAATTTAACGGGGGGTGGGGTGTTACGTTAACATTAATATATTGTGTATAATATAATTTTTCTAATCAGTTTATTAGTCTAAAATTATAATGATCAGTCTGACTAAAGCCAGCCCCTACTATATCACTTCGTTAGTGATATAGTAGGGGCTGGCTTTAGTCAGACTGTTATAATGATTCAATTCATCTCGTATTTTTCCATAAACATATGCTTCAAATGTCTAAATAAAGTTTCTGCAGGAAGAAAATTAATTTGTTTTCATTGATTCATGTTTTGTTTACTTGAACCATGCATATCAGCATATGGAGAGATGTTATACCCAGTGTAATTTTCATTGCTACATATACAAAATTGAAGTATTTTTTGTGTACGAGGGTCGTTCAATAAATAACGCAATACTCAGTATATCATAATAAATGTTGAGGTATTTGCATTTATTTTTTCATATTTGAAAAGTTCTATTAAAGATTTACTAAACACAGAAAACCTCACGAATTTTCATTGTGTCTTCGCAAAGAAATTAATATTTAAATTGAGCATGGTCACTACACTGAGCTAAAAACTGTTTATAAATGATCTCCGCCAAGAAGATGAAAATAAGACCATGAAGACCGTATTTGAAAACTGCGCTTTTTACATAAATCGCCGCAAACTTCATATTTGAGATAAAATTTTTATAAGTGTAAAAAAATAAATTTTAAGGTGGTATACTTTTCAGATGGATTCAATAATTCAGAAGAAAAAACGACGGTTCAAATATAACAGTGAATATGGTCAATTGAAATTTGTGGGAACATCACAAAATATCGACTTTATGTGCCAAATGTAATTTGAAAATGATATATTTACATGGAAAGACATTGTTAAAATAGTTAACATTAAATCGTCACAGCATTTTGTAGAATTCGGACAACGGAACAACAAAAAACAATATTTCAATCAGATAGGTGCCCTTTTTTCTCACAAATGCCCAAGAGAGAACATTCGTTAAATGTGCATACGGTTTACTTAAAAACACATTTTTAAACAAAATTGAAGAATAGATAAACTTGCTTAATGTATGTCGAAACATTGGTGCTCTTTTTATAGTCGTAAAAATATGATTAATGATAAAAAATGTGGAATCAAAGAAAAGGGTGTCATTTAATTACGATAAAGAGAAGTAATGGCTGCAAACATGTTTTACTAGTTTTCATGTATTTAAAGAGATTCATTAAAACATGAACATACATACAAATAAAGGACTAGCAATAGTAAACTTTATCTTCAAATCGCACAAAGGAAAAGTGAACAGATGTTTTGCAAAGGAAGTCCAAAATTCGGTGACCATGGTATTTTTCCTGTGCTTAATAACGCAGCTTGATATACGCTTAAGATTTTGAAGAAAAGAAAGTATACAGGACTTTTCAATGACCCAAATTAGTTTAATCGCAGTCACTGTGATATGTTTTCGTCCCCAAAAACATGAAAACAATCAAAGGAAGATTGAACAATGTCTGATATGCCATAGGATATTTCTCAGTGCCTTTAGGGTATCCCTAAAGATGAGTATGCTGAGGATTTCTGTTCATGGATTTAAAGACTTAAGACACATGTAACTGATAACAGGGAATGCCTTTAGGGATTGAAACTATTAAGAATATGTATTACGTACTTTTCTTACTTTTAGATGACATGTTGCATTATTTATTGAACGACCCTCGTAGTTTAGTAAATTTAAATTGGATAGGGCAAAATATTCAATTTTCATCTCGTAAGATTTCCATTGGGCATGCATGTGAGTAACATGATAAACCCAGACAATAATTATTTTTTAAAAAGTCATCCGCTATTCAGTTTGTTATACATGTACAAGTAACCTGTTTAAGGACCTTAAAGAATCTAATGTCCAAAACAATAATTCATCTCAGAATTCCAGTTCTTGTTGAAAAAATCATTTTTAAAAAAAAAAAAGAAATTAATAGTCTTTAATCAATTTGACATTAAATGTACATTTAATCGCGATTGGCAGCAATTCTGTATATGTGCAAGTCAAAGGAACATAAGTAGAGTTGTTTAACTTGAGTAAGAATTGACTTCATTGATGCAAAGTTTAAATCCTACAGGTGTATGATCAGACAGAGTCAAAAATTGTATAAAAGAGTCATCTTTGAAGAATAATGGTGGGCAAATAAATCCCTCCCTTGTACAAGTAGGGAACAAGTAGGGAACTTGTGCTTCTTTGATAAACAGATCTGAATTACAATGTAGACTTCTGTTTTGAATTGCATTGCAATACATGTCTTGCAATGTTCTTAAAAATGGGAATTCTCTCGCAATATCTTCCGATCAGGTATCCTGTAAATGAGTTTTCAACAAAGCGACAATTGCAGAACAGGGCAAACCAAGAAAAGGACCTCAAATTGAAATGAAATCCGCATAGTTTGATCATTTAATCAAAATCAGTTACCCATAATCACAGATGTTAAATTGAAAAACCACTGATGCAGGTACATGTATATTCTTGATTTGCAAATGACCTATCTAGAACACAAAATGAAAAACATTGCGGAAAGATGAATACAAAATTATCGGGCTGGTAATATTTCGACAACCTTGTTCATATTCATTATGCACTGAATTTATATCAGATCTAAGTATTAACAATTTAGCAAATTGATAAGGAAATTTGCAGCCCTTTCTTCAATCTCGTTAATACGGAAGCGTATTAGTGCCACGCAATACTTTTTTAAGTTGGTAATTCCAACTTTTAAGTTGGAAATTCCAACTTTAATCTTTTTAATTCCAACTTTAATCTTGGCTTTTCCAACTTTAAAGATGGTAATTCCAACTTTAATCTTGGCTTTTCCAACTTTAAAGTTGGTAATTCCAACTTTAAAGTTGGAAAGTCCAACTTTATTCTTGAATTTTCCAACTTTAAAGTTGGTAATTCCATCTTTAAAGTTGGAAATTCCAACTTTAAAGTTGGTAATTCCATCTTTAAAGTTGGAAATTCCAACTTTAAAGTTGGTAATTCAATCTTTAAAATTGGAAATTCCAACTTTAATCTTTGCTTTTCCAACTTTAAAATTGGTAATTCCAACTTTATTCTAGGCTTTTCCAACTTAATTTGGACCCCCCCCTTTTTTTTTAGTTTCCCCCTTTATTTTAAACCATTGACAACTTTATTAATGTCAATGTAATATAATGGAATAGACTGGTTATCAATAAATTTTCGCAACCTAGATGAGGGGGGGGGGTTGATTGATTGATTGTAGACTGTTTAACGTCCCTCTCCAGAATATTTCACTGATATGGAGACGTCACCATTACCGGTGAAGGCCTGCAAATTTAGGCCTATGCTCGGCACTCAGGGCCATTGAGCAGGGAGGGATCTTTATCGTGCCACACCTGCTGTGACACGGGGCCTCGGTTTATACGGTCTCATCCGAAGGACCGCCCCATTTAGTCGCCTTTTACGACAAGCAAGGGGGGGGGGTTGTAGAGAGAGATTCTTTAAGAATGGCGGACGGGGCTATAGGGAATAATGGTATAAAACTTGAATAATGCTTAATGAATTTAATATATACAAGAACATTGAAATAAATTGGTGAGCACTTTTTATCTGTGTCAGTTTATTTTTACCCTGACCTGCTATAACCTTCCAACTTTTAATTAAAAATCCGTATATTCTTTTGGTCCTGTAATATAATTACGAGTTCAGTGTCAAATTTCTATTAATTAAAAATCAATGTATGTAATGGCTACTGTAGGATCCTTTTTTTGTTAATATCAATTTCTCAAGTTATATTAAACAATAAAATGCTTTCTTTGGTTGATAATACGGGAATTCATGTCGCAGCTGTTGCAGGAAAAAAAAAATACATAACCCTCGTATAAATATACTGAAAGGAAAAAGAAACGCATAATAAACTTTTGAATAAAATTAAAACTTTTATTTCCAATATGTTTTCCAGTATTGTTATCAAACAATTTAATCCAACTCTAAACAACAAGTAACCGAAATCTTGTGTGACTTTGACTGATAATAAATTTCTGAGTTATTAAAATTGATATGTCGATACCCACCAAAATTAAAATAAAAATTATCATCATCTCCCTTGCGTATCAGTAACAGCCTTGATTCTCTTGTGCATTGAGTTCTTCAGAGCATTTATCTTTCTCAAAGGATTATCATTCAAGCCTTCCGACGATAGTCTAAATGGTTGAGAGTAGCTGTGTTATTCCAAAGCCAACGAATCCCCCCGCCCAATGAATCCCACGAATTTTCGATTTAGGATAGAATTTTCAGAATCTAGCTAATTTGGTACACGTGAATGTTTCTAAGGAAGTCTCGACAAACACTGGCTACATTTTCTCAGTATGAACATGCTAAAAACATTACGCATACGGCGTGTACGTGCGCGTGTGAGAGTAAAATCGACGTAAAGTTGCTAAGCTTGCGTACCAAATTAGAGCAGAGAGATTCTGTCAGTATTAGGGTGAAAATATGAGTCTGACTGTCTGCTTTAAAAATATCGATGTCAATGATAATGACTTGAGAATAACCGAGGTAGCATGACGAAAAGCTCTAATTTGATGTGACGTTGTTACGCGCCAACGTCACCGTCATGGTTGGTTGGAAACCTTTTAAGTTACTCTCTGACAACCGAAAAAACTTTTTTGGTTGAAAATTTAAAAACAAACTGCACAGCAACATGTTGTTGCCTTTTTATTCACTTATGGAACTCAATTACTAGACCCAATGTAACATCTGTCAGCCATATCATGATTGCAAGAAATTTATACTGACTGCAAATATCGGAAAACGATGTCTGTAACTCTAATGCATCGATTGGCACTACAAAAT